ATATGCACTCATATAAATCTTGTTTAATGGGTATAGCTGGACAAGATGAGGGTTGTATAAAATTATTAATGGAGTGGAGAAACTGGAGAGAAAGCATATACAGGTAGTCTTCAACTTACAACCACAATTGAGCCCAACATTTCTGTTATTAAGTGAGACATTTGTTAAGTGATTTTGCCCCATTTTATGACCTTTTGGGCCACAGTTGTTAAGTGAATCACTGCAGTTGTTAATTTAGTAACATAGTTGTAAAGTGGATCTGGCTTCTAACAAACTTTGCTTGTTAGAAGGTCACAAAAGGTGACCACATGACCCCTGGACACCACAACTGTCATAAATATGAGTTAGTTGTCAAGTATCCAAATTTTGATCACAAAACCAGGAGATGCTGCAATGGTTGTAAGCATGAAAAACGGTCATAAATCATTTTTACAGTGCCATTGTAACTTTGAATAGTCACTAAACAAATTGTTGTAAGTCAAGGACTACATGTATTTTCTTTTTTTCACAATTTTAGAAGAGCCCAAATGGGCCGCATTTTGTGGAAAATCCCAAAGGGAAAAAATGGAAATCATATTTTGTTTGAAGATAATTATTTTTCCTATTCAATTAAAGCCAATTTGATGAGTTACAAAAAAGAAAATTTGGAGCAAATAGCTTGAAACCATACAAGGTGGAGACTAAACAAATTCCAGTCTTGCCTGATGTACTGATCAGACTATTTGGTTTATGAATAAACCACATCATAATCCCTTTGGCATGCTCAATAGCTTGTTTACTTAAAAATCCAGAGGAACTGAGGTGCTTAGTTCCATGAAAATCAATATAGGGTTTTCCTTCTTGGTTATCTCTCCAGAAATGAGCAGATGAGAATTCCTGCTCTTAAAACTTCACCTTTAAAAATTAAAAACAATTCCACCAAAACATTTGCTCAGTTGGATGGGACTGAACACAAGTTGCAGGTACTTTTCTTTAAAAAAAAAACAAAGACACAAAGTGGTCAACATAGATATAGTAAAGCATGCAAGGGGATTTTATCAATGACCAATGGTCGGTCTGGCAGAAACCTCCCTGGAAACACACATTATAGAATTTTCCTTTCCTGTCCCAGTATTAACTCTGAAGAGTTAATCAGAAAGTCATCCAATATTACTGAGCTACGGTTGAGTAAAATTTAATTAAAGTCTGATACAGCCTGTGGAAGGGTGTGCCTTGGTTTCAGTCAGGGTTGGAGCATTATTAAATACCTTGTACCTCAAAGAAAACACCCACTTTTGAAATCAGTGATACCAGTGACATAAGATTTGTAACAGGAGGCTGCATTCCTCCAAGGAGGGGGAGATATGCTCCCTGCCAACCTGATGATTAATGCGATTTCAAAACACCACCAACCAATTACGATGGCTAGCAAGCTCAATTAATAGGGATGCGTAACTACGTCACTGTTATTTGGGTTTAGTAGGCCAACCAGTGACAAATGCAGTACTTTTGTCCTGGGAAGCAAAGATTAAACATCTCAGATAATAACAAGGAGCCCAGGGTTTTTTTTGTTTTTTTTAATGTTTCGTAAATACCAACTTCATTATCATGGAACTCTTTAATTTCATGCATTCCTTTGCCCATTTTTTTTTCCTTTGAAAAAATACTATTTGATCTCCGACCAAATGCTCTTTGACAAAACTCCCTGCCTTTTGAGATCAACTGCACTGCCTACGTGGAAAGAGAAAGCAAACTGACAAAAAAATATTTTCCCCTGAAGAAAACAAGCGGTTTGCGGGTTTCCAAACCTCTCAAGCTCTTGGATGTAGAGTTGATATGTTTCTATGTCATTTGATTACTGAGTGCTTTCTGAGTCACAGCTGAAGGTGTGCCCTGACTCAGTTGAAAAGCACTGTGTGTTATCAACTGCGGTGCTGAACATTTTTTCCTCTGGGGTTGGAATGAAGCTATTCACTTATGCAAGTCACCAATCACTGATGCACAGATGAAGAAAGAGATGGAGTGTGAACAACTCTGCACATCACACTCAGTCCTAATCAGTGCAGCGCCCTGTCGACATAACTATGCTACAGTCTCCTTTTCATCTTATTTCCTGTCTTGGCAACCAAATCTGCATCTGGCTCAGTGAAAGCATTGCTCCTTATAACTACATATTGACACAATCAATAGATCCATTCACCGAATCGCCTTTCATCCATCTGGATATTCCTGACTTGGCATGTAACAGCTAGAAATGTCTGGTTAAGGGACTGTTAATTCATGGGCTTACGACAAGGCTTCCCTGCCACGATGTATGGTGTGGCTGCAGTCTTTTGTACAGTGATCCATTAATCTGCTGCACTGCTTGGTGATGCATTGCAGTGGCTGCTGACTGTTGCAATGGATCATGTCTAAGTATAACAGGGCTGTTATAAGGGTCTTAAATCTTTATCTGGGAACTGTTTCACTCAGGGGACTGTGAAATACAAGCGATTATGCTTGCCTGGTAACTTAGGAGCCACTGTGGTTTAATGGTTATGGTATAAAATCTGGATCTGGATCTCCCCTTTGCCCTCATGTCTAGGACTTATTTATTTGTTATAGAAAAGGGAAATCTCCACCTTCAAAGTATGAACAATGATTATATAATCTCATATGCTTATAGGGAAAGGGAAAGTGGGAGGGAGGAGGGGAATAGCGGAGAGGAGAGGAGAGGAGAGGAAAGGAAAGGAAAGGAAAGGAAAGGAAAGGAAAGGAAAGGAAAGACCATGGCTGATTAACTGGGAGACTTTGGGCCAGTCATTCTCTCACTAATACATGATTAAATAAAAAGTATTTAATGTCTATCCTGGTTTTCCTCCATGATCTCAAGGTAGCTTGCATGAGAATCTTCCTTACTACAACCCTGTAGCAGTATCCCTATGAAGTAGCAGGGATGACAGTGGCTCAAATTTGCCCAATGGGTTTACATTAAGGACTAACTTGAACCTGTGTCTCCATAATCCTAGTTCAATAACTTAAGCACAACATTGTGATCTTAACCACAAGATGTTTTTCACGCATCCTTCTTACTAACAACATGATAAATGTGAAAAGTGTCAACCACTGCTGCCACATCTCACTGAAATTCAGGTGTTTCACATCCAAGCAGTGTGCCCATGAAAAGAGTTTGCAATGCTTAATTATCCAAATTTTGTCCATATGTGTGTGGGAGTTCACAGTGCTCTGTGGGATATATGTCAGAGTAAAGGTACTTGCACATGCTTGCATATGAACTATAACTTCAGTTTTTAGAGACTCCCTATATTGGAAAGGAGCATTTTAGTCTCACTTCGAAATATTCCAAAGGAAAGTATCAGATAGTAATTTGTGAGTTAAGTCTGCAGCACAATATTTTGTTTCCATACTGAAGTTCCTGAGTACCTGGGTCAAGCCTCTTAATTTCGACACCACATCTGTAACAGAAGAATTCTATTAGCCTAATTTACAAGGAAACTGGAAGGATTTATTTATTTAATTTGCCACCCATTTCATCACGAAATGACTCTGGGTGCATTACTACTAAGATCATATCAGTTTTCAGGTTATTTGACAATCTTGCCAAACTTAACAATACAGTGTGCAATAGAAACTTTCATATATTTCTTAATGGTAGGGGGACAGTTAACACAAGGAAGGTAGTTACTTCAAGAATATATGAACATGAAATTAGCATGTACCCCCAATGATATTTTCTATTCTGTTCTGAATCACTCTCTTGCTGCTTTCTGGTATTTTAGAGAAAAGAGTTGGGGATGGAGAGTTAGTTCACTAATACCCATGCCACATTAAAGCTGGAGTGCCACAATGCTTCAAACAGCAAAGCAGATGTAATCAAACTTTCCTTTTGAAAATATAAGACTAAACTGGCACTTCTTGATATCAGAAAGATACCTGAGGAGATGCAGTGAGAATAAATCCAAGCCTTAGCTCCTTCTATTTTAAACCAGCATTTAAATAAAATCAAACTTTCAGATATTCTAAACATCTTTTTGTTTAAAAGAAAAGGGGAAAAAATTCTAAAACGTATGTCCTACTCCAATATTTTCATTTTTTAAAAAATTGATCTGATCAAGGATTTCAAATCCTAGAGCTGTTCTGCCAGGTCTGAAGCAACACATTTAATAAAGGCTGAGAGAATTTTCTTAGGAGAAAGTGCCACAGAGAGTTTTTGGATCAATAACTTTTCGGTTAGTCATCCAAGATAAAAAGCAATAATCAGTAACCCAGATCACTGAAGTTATTTCTAGTTTTGGCTTAGACACCTGCTAATTCTGAGCTAACAGCACTTTTTACCCTTCAATGAGCATTCCTCTGGATGAGTGATCTTTTTTTATGAAGTGGATCAGACTCATTTATCCTATCCAAAAGGAACACTGTCAATCCCAAAATAAATCAAAACCAAAAATCACTCCAGCTCATTTCAGTTGCCTTCTAGCAATGTTAAACATATGCTGTCCATTTTTGATCTAGTAGGTACTGCTTATTATACAAATGGAGGTGCACTTGGACTAGTTGAAATTATCCACAAGATCCATAATAAATCCAGTTGGTTACTTGCTTTTTTGCTGCAAACATAGCTGCCTTTTTATTTTGAGCTGGAACTCTTGTTGACCAATATGAACCATTATTAATTTGATTGATACAAGTACAAACATTGATTTCTGTGACTTGCCAAGAGTTTCATTCTTGTACATTCCATTGCACTGGTTTCTCCCTTGGTAGGCTGTAGGCAGATAAGACTTGGCAGAGAATCAGACCAATTAACCTAATATTTGCTCTGTCAGTTTACAGCTACAATAGCTCTTAGTGATTGCTTGAAACGAATATAGGAACTGTATTTTGGATAAAATATTGTGTTCCAAAACTGGATAAGTCTCAGAATACACATATACATATATACATGCAAAATAAAAAGACTTGCACATGGATTAGAGAACAAACGAAAGTATACAATATTATCAAGAGAGTAAAAGACTTACAATGGAAACAGGCTGTTCACATAGCAAGAAGAAATGACGGCAAATGCACCAAAGCAGTCATAGAATGGATCCCACTTGATAAAAAGCATCCACGAAAGAGACCTAAAACAAGATGGATTGATGACATCAGCAAATATTGTGGGCCCAATTGGCAAAAGAAAGCTTAGAACCATATTGGTTGAAAACATGCGGAAGCGGCCTTCATCCTGCAGTGGATAGACAATGGCTAAAATGGGACGTTGTCTTACCTGAACGTCCATTTGGTAATCGATGCTCCGACACTCCACTGTATGGGTTCCTTTCGTCTGTGGCATACGTTAGATGTACGTAGAGCATTGAAATATTATTTAACTAAGACAGCGGAATTTAGAAAGACAGAAGCCTTATTAATTTCATTTCTGCCATCAACTATGGGTCAGAAAGTGTCATCAACAACGATAGGTAGATGGATCAAATTATGCATTTCGACTGCATATAAATTGAAAGGTTATCAAGTACCTGGGGGTATAGTGGCACATTCTACGAGAAGTGCAGCTACATCAATAGCTTGGGCAAAACAAGCATCTATAGAGGAAATTTGTAAAGCGGCCACTTGGTCATCTATTTCCTCCTTTATAAGACACTACAGAATAGATACATTTGCATCCGCAGATGCGGCTTTTGGTAGGAGAGTATTACAAGAAATAATTCCCAGCCATGGCCAGGAGATGGATGCAGTTCCCTCCCAGATCAATTAGGCTTGGGTAAGTCCCATACAGTGGAGTGTCGGAGCATCGAGGAGGTAAATGGGACGTTGTCTTACCTGAACGTCCATTTGGTAATCGATGCTCCGACACTCCGACCCGCCCAGTTACTGTCCATCACCTGGTCCGGCTGGGGTGTTCTTTAATTTTTTCTCTACAGTGACAATTACAAGAGGACAGTAGTCGATGTAGATATGAAAATCGATGAGTAAGGTCCTGAATACAATAAAGGATAACAGTCTGAGGATAGTTCTGGATGGACTTCATGAAAAGACTGGACATGCGCAGTTGGAGGAGGCGGGACAAAGCTGTGGAGAAAAAAATTGATTGGCACCCAGTCGATCTAATGACAGACGAAAGGAACCCATACAGTGGAGTGTCGGAGCATCGAGGAGGTAAATGACGCTGATACATAGAATCACTCAATTTTCTAAAGCAGACATGTCAAACACAAGGCCTGCTGGCCAGATCCAAACTGCGGTGTGGTTAGATCTGACCCAGGGGGCCACCCTGAAGACAGTGAGGAGCTGGCCTCCGCCACCCCAGCCCACCCCAGCCCATGAGGCAATGAGCAAGCAGGGACTGTCCTGTCCAGGGCAGCCCCACAGGCCAGATCTAAGGCTGAACCTGTTCCAGCCTGGGTGGTTGCCATGAAGTTGTAGATGAGTGTGGTACCAGCAGGACCTCTGTTGCCTCCATGGCAGCTGGCCCCGCAGCCTGTGAGCACTTCACTTTCAACAGGATGGTCCTTCCCCCACTCCATTCTCCACCCCTGTGTGAGAAAACCACAGCCACCATATCCCCCTCCCCTTGTCCCTTCCTGGGCGCAGAGAGAGGGGAGGGAGGGAGGGAGGGAGGAAGGAAGGAAGGAAGGAAGGAAGGAAGGAAGGAAGGAAGGAAGGAAGGAAGGAAGGAAGGAGTAAAACTGTTTACCTCAGTTCATTCAAATGCTGGTACGATATCTATGGATCTACCTAGTATTTCAGGTTCTGTTCCAGTAGAACATTCCTGTGGTGGTTTAAAGTCTGAGATAATCAGTAAAGATGTTTATGTTGTGGAATTACCCTAACATTATCTGACTTTTCACTTCTTCAGAATCCCTTGTCTTTTAAATTCATTTTACTTGATGAAGCAAAATGGAATTCTTGGAAATTTGCACATTCTTTTACGGTTACTCAACAATGAAATTTGCATTTGTTTTCCCTACCCCATGGGCCAACACACGGCTACTTTCTGGACTGTGGTATTCTTATATTTTTGTGAGAATTTTAAAAAAATATTTGACGAGGAACACTTGGTACATTTTTTACTGTTCATGTAGATAGAGCAATGCTCTATTGAGCAATAATTTTTTAGCAACAAATACTGTATGTTCAATATCTTCCTTGAGGTGGAAATCCTTACCACTTTAGATTTTAGGGAATTCTCCTTTAAAGAATATTTCTTCAATATTCCTTCATTTAACTTTCTTTTATATGGGAAACTAGAGGTAGGAAAACAAAGGTGGTTCTGTTAAGACTCACTGATGGGTTAGCTTTCTAAATGCAGGAATAGATTTCAAGGGAAAATAATATTATGTCAATGATTCTCTGCACTCAAGGGGTTTACCAATCATGAGGAAGTAACATTAATAGCTTGGTCTCTTATGCCTCAAGAGTCCCAAATATAGCTAAACTTTGATTAAACTGCATGAGCAGAGCACATTTGGTTCCAAGCTTTTCAGGCTACAGAATGTTTAATTTTGATCTTCTAATTCATTTAATGAAATGCTGAAAAAGTATATATTAGTTTCCTTGTGCCAGGCAATTATCCCTTATAGGGTTTATTCTTGACTCTAAGTGTTCATGTCATCTGCTAGGTATTTATGTTATCTAACAAAAAATAATTTGACCAAGGAGATGATATCACTGTATGAAGTATAATTCACATTGGATGTGGTAACTGAGTTGTGCCCATTGATTGTGTCATTATGAGTTTAGAACAAAGGAAACGTTTGCAGATGATTGCAATGAAGGAATAATAAGAACAAAAAGACTAAAGATAGAGATATTCTCAAAGGCCTTAGATGCCACTTTTTTCATACCATTAGTCTCTAGTGGCCCACATCAAATAGGAGGACGAAAAATACAAACACAAAAATCAAACATAAAATTTAACATTTATAACATAAATGATCAAATGCTTAGCAGATTCCAGAGCTACTATTTATACTTCAAAAGATCACCAGAAGCCTATTATATTATCTATTTTCCAGAAAGTTGATAAAGAACCAGTCTAACCATGGAGCAAGTTTTACTATAGGATTGACGACTGATTGAAATTGTCTACTCCTGATGGCAGGACACTTTCATGAATTGACTGCACAGTATAGGCAAACCTGGAGCAGATAGTTCCATAGATAACAAGGATCCAAATGATAAAGTGTTTCATCATTATCATTTCGAATTGTATTCAGAAAAGTACAACCAGAAGCAAATTAACAAGTGCATTCAGTATGAATGCAGTAATCTATTTGAGAGATATTGAGGGTATGAGATGTCAAACCATCTCGTTCCATATCTCACATACCAGCTGGAGCTAGAGAAAAGTTTTTCTGGCCACAGTCTGCGCAAGCTGCTCTAGCAGAAGCCTCAAATTCATGAGAACTCCCAGGTCATGGACCTATTGCTCCAGATGGGTTGTACCCCATCAAGATTCCCTCCCAAAAGAGATGACTTCCCTCTTTTTAGGGTGCAGGAAAGGGAAATAATATTGTGCAATAATAAATTCACAATTGCTTATATTGAAAGGACAGAAGAGGGGTTCAGCTAGTGGGAGACCATGCCATCTGGTGGTACTGGGTTGATTCTTAAAACTCCATATTCAGTTCATTGGTTTAAATATATGTACACATAAATGCACATGTCCATTTTTCTTCTATACCTAAATCTGGAATGACATTTCAGTGCTGCAATTCCTCTCTTCAAAAATAAAATATTTCCTCTCATCATGGCCTTCCAGTCCATGCTATTTTATCCCTTTGGCAACATTTGCTGTCAAAACTTATTTGCAATTTTTGCTGAGCTGACCTCAAGTGTAGTAATTTAAGCTGAAAGATGCTGGGACAAATGGAACATTAGCAGAATGGGCAAATGGTAATTCACAGACGCAATGTCTTATCCTTTGCAGGAAAACAACCCTCTGAGCCTTCCTGTTCTTTTCTTCTTTTGGTATCACTTAATCAGTCTAATTAAACACCTCTTAGAGAATCTTCAATTTTAAAAAAAGGTTTATTATTCTGATTTTGGATATCATACTTCTGTAAGCATGATAAAGAGACATGTTGACTTGCTGAAAGGCTTATTTTATATTGTCCTCTAATGCATCAATATGATACAATAAATACAATACAATACGACACGACATGACATGACACAACACGACACGACACAACACGACACGACACAATATTCTTTATTGGCCAAGTGTAATTGAACACACAAGGAATTTGTCTCCAATGCATAAAATTTAAGTGAACATACAAACAACAAGCAACAACATAATATAATCATAAGATACCATCATTATTGATTTTTTTAAATCAGCTGAGTATCATTATACTCACCTGACTTTAAAAAAGAAACTGAACATGAAATTTAGGGAGGAACAAGTCAGCCAACCATAAACATTTGAGAGGGTAGAAATTTATCATTCTTGTAATGAATACTACTTACTGACCCGTCCATCAAAATGGAATTACTTATAGTTATCAAGGAGATGATTTGAATTGCCAAGTAATTTGATTGTTGATATTATAGCATGTGGCACTTGCCTTCACAAGATATTGTCAGTTAGCAATCACAATAGTTATAAGTTCAACAAACCTGGAGGGCAAATATTGGGAAAGGCTAGAATTGGATGAGTACAACCATTTTGGGGTAACATTCTGTACACACCTTAAGAGTAAAGAAAACAAGGGCGTAGAAAATGCCATCACCACAGCTACAAGGAAGACAAGGCAGAAGATAAATACCTGCATCTCATGTCCAATTCCCATAATGGTGGTGTCCCTGTAATTTAAATCAGTTCTCTCATCAAAATGCCTGGGTTATTGGCACTTTTCTTTTATTGTCATAGACTTAGACTTAGAATAACTTTATTGTCACTTTGAATGTACACTAATTGGCATTCATTAAAGTGAAATTTTGTTACACAAAACTCTCAAAGGGTCACTACACTACATAAACATGTCGAAATAAATAAATAAATAAATAAAAATTATGCATATACCCACATATATTATATGAGACAGAGAAACAACACAGTTTGGATATATATGTACATGGTGAGAAAAACAAATCTTGTGAGT